CTCTCCGACTGGATTAAGCCTGCCAGATTTCAGGCAGGAATTTTCATTCAAGAAATCTTCTAAAGTTTATTTTTTTTTAAAGTATCTAACTTTCAATTTTATGCTGGAATTGGGTGCAATTTGCAGTTTATTTGCCCATTCCAAGGAGATACAGGCCAACTTTCAGAATGACAAGTGCAGTAGTTCTCTCACTTGGGCAGACCTTACCATTCAGGGATGGGTAAAATAGAAATCACTTAACTTGCCTTAGTTTTTTTTAATGGGTGATCAGTCTGTAAACTGGTGGTATGATGGAGGTGGTCCTGAGTAACAGTAATAATTACATAGCTCTCAATAAGCAATGAAAGTTGGAGCTTACTTCAGGGCCAATCCAGCTTAGCTGAATGTGGGCAGAGGAGCTTTTGAGGGGGAAGGAAGAAAATAGGAATACATTAAATGTAGTGAAATTACAAAACTGAAGACAGAAAGGTGACATTTTGAACATGCAAACTGAAATTTGGAGGGGGGTGGAATGGAAATGAATAAAAGGCATCAAACAAGCACAAGCAAGTGTTGGTGGAAGGACTGGAAGAGAAGATTGCGAAAAATGAGAGAAACTAAATGGGACAAATAATAATAAACAGAGTAGGCATTGTTGGAAAACAAAAAATAAAAAGGAACAAATCAATCACACAGAAAGCCCTACAAGTGAACTGAGTGGAATTATCTTACATGGAGCTCTCCTGGAAGTTTGTGAATACAACGAAGTTAACATGAACCAAAAAGAAAAGTGTTAAGTTGTGGGTGAACATATCAGACGACACAGCGATTCTCTAAACAGCTCTTGTTTATTCACAGGTCAGAACAGAACTGAACTGAAGGGTTCAGCCAGCCTGCTTCTATAGCGCTCCAGTACAACGTAACTGTAACAACTTTCTGTAACTATCCAATCACTGAACCTCACTTTCGATCCCTTATTTGCATATGTGGACCTGAGTGAAAACTATCTACAGTATCCCCCTGCTGGTCCAGGGTGAGAACTTCAGTACATAACAAAAAGAGCGGGATGAAAACAATTTGAGTGAAGCGTTAGTTTTCTTTTGTTTGAAAGGAAACAGAAAATGATTGGGGAGGATTCCATGGGTCCCAGAGCTCTTCCAAGCACGTCCTGCTTTCTTGTGCAGGGGTCACAAAAGAACAGCAGCCACTCGAAAAGCAAACACTTTAGCACCCCTCTCCCAAATTGCTGTGGTTGGAGTGCCCTCAGAAAATAATTCAATGTGATTAAAACCTGGACCTGTCAGTCAAAATGAAAGATTCTCCAACCTCTCTGCTCTGTTCTGACTTAGGGCTTGTCCACACATATTCTTGCCCCACCACTTTCCCCTAGGGAAAACCTACTCTTCACTGCTGAATCGGAGCAACGGTCAATGGGGTTTTCTGCAGACTGATGTTTGCTCAGTTTCAGCAGTAAAGAGCGGATGTTCCTAAGGGAAGTGGCAGGGAAGCAGGAAACCACTAGGACCCGAGCTTTCTAGGGTTGCAGAAGTGTGGATAACCCCTCAAGCACAGAGCATTCCTAGTGACCTTCGTTTTGCTTTTTGGGGAAAAAAAAGAAACATTCAGCAGTCACCTTATTTTAAATGCACCCCAGCCCACAGAAGGACTTGGAGATTTAGGGAGCTGCTGATCTATCTCAAGACATCTTGTGAGCAATGAAATCCAACTCAGGCATGTGAAAACCTCACCCATATCCCTTTATTCACCTCATAATTCAGGTTGCTCTCAGAGCCAAAGCAAACGATAAAGTCTATAGATCTAAAATGGGTTAATCTGCAACTTGAGGTCTTCCACTGGTGCCTCTGGGCAAAGTTAGGTGGCAGGTGGCTCAGGTCTTTCCTACATTGTGCTTTTAATGTGATCAGAGAGCCCGTAAGGAAAGGAATGACGCATTTTTAAAAAATGGATGGGAAAGGACAGGAAGTATGGGGTCCACCAAGAAAGACCCTGGGCTCAGGCCCCCTAAGTCATCCCACTCTTAGCCATCGTCTTCTTGGTACATCAGCTTCCGAGTTCAAAAATACTTCCAATTTCTCACCTCTTCCAAATAAGCTCAAATGGGTCCATTTTGTTTTGCTCCTGCTCAGGTTTCCAGGAGTCTCTAATTTGCAGGTTTATCCATTTCAGACCTTCTACCATAGCAAGGTAGGGGGCACTCTAGAAAACAACAACAGGGGAGTACCTCAGGGCTGCAGCTATGGAGGTGGGGGGCTAGCCAGGTATTTTGCCCCAGGTGAAGCCTCCAAGAGGGGTGCCATTAAGGCTCCCAGACTGTGTGTGTACACAAGTGTGCGTGCGTGCGTGCGTGCACACACCCACCCACACCCACACCCACCCCAAACTGGGTCTTTGACCCAGCTTAGTTTCAGCCCTGGAGTACTTTTGCAGAATGCCTGAATGGATCGTTAGACAATAGTATTATACAGGTCTATATTCCTTTACTCACCTGGTAGTAAGGCCTATTGAAGTCAATAGGACTTATGAGTAGACATGTACATCATTGTTTTGTTCTAACCTCAGCTTCACTCCTTAGAGTGTGTTGTCTCTTAGGGTCCCAGACCACTGACAAACAATGCAAATCTTCAAAACAGACCCATATTTATTAAAATCAGACATCTTTTATTTATAATGGGCTCTGTTGCAATTGTCCTTGCCAGCAGAAGATTAGTGGAAGATCAGTAGGTTCTGGGCTTTTTCCCTAAGTGTGGCGCTTTTTCTACAGAAATTGGTTCCGGTGGAGCTGTGGGCCAGGCCAGCCCAATGCAAGTTTTTGAGAAGGGAGAGGAAGACCTTTCTCATTTTCATCTGGCGCTTCATGGACTAAATGCAGCATTTTTGCTGCAGTCCTGAACCCACCGAGCTGAAAGTACGCCCCATTTTAGCTCAATTGGACTAATTTCTGAGTAGATACATATAATGCTGCACTGGATATCATGTTCTGGGTAGATCATTTTCAGCTAAAATTGTTTACCTGTATCTTTCCATCATTTGACTAGCTGATTGTTGGTTTTAGTTGTATATTTTACTGACATTTCATTATGGTTTTATTTTAATTCGATTATTTACATAAGCCCCTTTGGGAGTCTGCAGGAAGAAAAACTGGATAGAAGTAAATGGAATAAATACATAAATTTGCATAAAGTTTATTATTTCACACAGTGGAAACTGGGCTTTTTCTTGATGGGTTTTTTTTTGGGGGGGGGATAAATGTTCCATGTTTCTAAAACTTGAAAAATACTGTGCATACTAACTATAGAATTATTATTATTGTTATTGTTATTATTATTCCCGCATTCTCAGGCCAATGGGCTCTCAGCAGAGCAGTATATAATGGATAATAAAATACAATAAAATTAATAATGATACACATACAATTCACCTTGAATAAAAGTGGGGGGTTAATATATAGAAATTCTTTTTTAAAAAATCAGCAAATGATTGTTTTAAGTTCTCTTTTTCCCACCCCACCCTTTACTATCTGTTGCATATTTCCACAAGAAATACAGGAAGGTAACCCTTTCAGTCACTATAAAGCAAATCCCCCCCTCCGAAAATGGTCCAGTGAAAGCAAAATTTAAGCCATTGGGGAGGGGAAATCAATGTAGGCTTTGGCTACTTTTTAAGATTGCCTCTTCCTATTTTGATTGAAGGAGAAGTGATATAGTGGTTTCTGTTTCCAAATGACTCTTGAGAATGCATGATCTTTGGGGCATCATATGGTTGCAGTGGGTTAAATCCAAAGAGTCCCTTCCTCTGAAAGAAGGATTCCGTCTGAGAAAAAGAACATTTGGATCCAACCAATTGTTTCCTTGTTCAAAGGTCTCTGCTTTGCTGACTGAGCCATAACATGCACACAGCTTATATTGGACAGGGCAATGGATTGTTGGAGCCAAGCCTGGACAAAGAAGAAAACACTCTCAAGTTTTAAACTTCCCATACATCATTTACTACTCCTGTGGGCTGGCTGACAAGCAGCTGCCTGGTGCAATATCTTGTTAATATTCCCCGATATTGAAAAACATCAATTTTCTGAAGCTGGCATGACCTACTCCCACCCTCCTTTTAATAAACATTGAGCTAAATATTTAAATGCATGGCAAAACCTTGTGAAACATACGCACAAGCATATGTGTCAACCTTCCCAGTTTAACAGAGGCTGCTCCTCTTTTGATGTTATGCATGAACTTAATTATTTATATTCTAGATAGCAAAGATTGGTACCCAAAGTGCCATATTGTAATGGACTGGCTGGATGCAGAGGCATCAGTTGGAGAACCCCCAAAGGGAAGAAGGCTCAGAGCCAAGGAATTGGTGGTGGGATGATGATAAGTGGTCAGAGGGAGAAGAGGGAGCAGACTGGGTGGAGGTGGTGTCGGAAGCAGAAGAGGCAACAGGGTTTCGTGATCAGGGAGAGTCTATGGCAGAGAGCAGTCCAGAATCAGAGGCAGAAGCGGAGGCTGGAGAGGAGGGGGGGCCAAGAGGCAGACATCAGACAGGCTTCTGAAGAAGCCAGGGGATCTTCCCTCCCCACTGATCTCCCAGGACCAGAAGAGGTATGAAAAGGGGAGAGCAGAAACAGGCACATCCATGGAGTCTCAGATTGCTTGGGAAGCACCTGGGAAAGGAGGAGGCTTAGGCAACTGTGGGAAGGAAGGGACCTTCAGTCCCCACAACTGCCTCACTGGGGGCAAGACCTACTAGGAAGAGTTACTGTGCTCACTAGGCCTGGCCTCCTGAGCTGTTTGCTTCTTTGAATAAAAAGCCAACTTCACTGATGCCACGTGAGTTATTACTGACCTGTTTGAGGCACCCACCCCTGACACGTATAGTGAAAATCCACACAGAAGTAGAACAGAATGAGATGTGTGTGTGTGGTTCAGACAGGGTGGGAGGCTCCTTAGGATATATATATATATATAAAACAGCTGGTACTCTGCTAAGAATATATGTAAAATGTGGTTCCCCATCATGTACCCTTCCGCTCCCTCCATTCCATGCCTGGCAAATAATAAGTCACATTCCAGTCTGTAAGGGACATATTTTTATTTTTTTAGGCTGCAACCCTATTCCCACTTACCTGAAGAAAGGCCACTGATTTCTACAGCAAGGATAAGGAACCTTTTTCAGCTGAGGGCCACATACTTAGGGGCCATATTCCAGTGGTGGGAGGAGCCAGAGGCAAAAGTGGGGGGAGCAAAATTTTACCTTTGTGCAGTAGACTAGTTTCTACATACACTCACATACCCCTCCAACCAGACAAGCAAGAGACATCAACAGAATTCAAGGACACATTCCAGCCAGGCAAAAACACTTGGGGTGTGTGGCAATGTCAAAGGTGTATGTCTGGCCTGGAGGAAGAGGGTATAGTTTGGGGAGAGGTCCAAGAACCATAGAATCATAGAACTGTAGCGTTGGAAGGGACCCTGAGGACCATCTAGTCCAACCCCTTGCAATGCAGGAATATGCAGCTGCCCCATATGGGGATTGAACCTGCAACCTTAGCATAAAGAGCACCAACTATCCATGCCAGGTGTAAAGACTGCAATGTATCTCACCTTTCAAGGTATAACCCTCACAAGGCAGGTTACAGCAATAAATAAACAGAAAACACTGAACAGTATAAACATTGCAAGCAAATCAGTGAAGCAACAAGCAAAACTCTTTTAAAAAACAACAACCCTTCATTTGCATCAGTAGAGGGGGGAAATATTCGTGGCGAAGCCTGATAAGCTCTGGGTCTAAGAACAGAGCTATGTCATATTGCCTCCTGTCTTTAGGCAGAAGAATGATGCCACAAGTTGCTTTCTGTGGCTTTAGCCCAATGGCATAATCCAGTGGCTGCATGTGTGTGAGAGCGCAGGTGCGTTGGCAAAAGACAGGTCCATCATCTCTGATTGTATTTGCAGAAGGCAAAAGACCGAAGCACATGTTGACTTATTTTTTGTTGTTGATATATTTGCCACCAGGTCCCTCTCTCTCTCTCTCTCTGACATCTATGGCAGGCAATCCAGGTCCCATCTGCATCCAAGTTTCAGCTGACAGGCAACGAGGAAGAAATGCTGCCGAATGAATTAGAGAGGCAGAATTCTGTAAGTATTAATCAAGCTCTCCTCCCTCCCTCCCTCCTCACCACCCCATCCCATAATACACAGTTTAGCTCTGCAAGAAATAAACAGATGGGAAACAGGATACCTCACCAACCCAGCTGAGGGGGAGGCAGAATTGAAACCTAATGGATTCCAACAGCAGAAGATTCACCCTCTCCAAGAAAATCAATGCTAGGATGTGGGGTTTCAGAATTTGATTAGACTTCCTAGTTATAAGGAAACATCTAAAAGTGAGAGCAGACTTTAAGAGCTTGGTATGAACTCCTCAAATCTTATTCAAGGACATCAGAAAGGGCCATGTAGAACCAGAGATAAAACTTTTCTAGGATCAAGATATCAAATGTTTACCAATCTGCTCATTCCCAGTGACTCCAATTTTACAGGCAGAGGCATTAAGGCTGAGATGCAACTCAAAGGCAGAGTAGTGATTAGAGTCCACATTTCATCAGCTAAATCTGCCACTGGTTGATACCTGAACATTTTCTACAAATAAGAGGAAGACCATGCTGTATAATAACAATTGGGAAGCTCACACTGGATTCTGGAGAAGGAAAGAGCTCTGGAGTGGAGGCAGACCAATCCATGGGGGTTGGTCCACAGAGAAAGCTCATTCAGCGAATGGACTTTTCATGTCAAATAGCCACTGTGGAAGCACAGAGCACATGTGTTTACATCACATGGTTTCTCATCACAACTTCCATGGAACCTTCTAGGTAAATCAGTGGTAAATCCTGTCTTTGATGGCACATTCACGGGTCATCAATTTAAGGTACAGTTAAGGAGCAACTAAAAGGGACGCGTGTGGCACTGTGGGTTAAACCACAGAGCCTAGGACTTGCCGATCAGAAGGTTGGTGGTTCGAATCCCCACGATGGGGTGAGCCCCTGCTCCTGTCAACCTAGCAGTTCAAAAGCACGTCAAAGGGTAAGTAGATAAATAGGTACCGCTCCAGCGGGAAGGTAAACGGTGTTTCCGTGCGCTGCTCTGGTTCCCCAGAAGAGGCTTAGTCATGCTGGCCACATGACCCGGAAGCTGTACGCCAGCTCCCTCGGCCAATAAGGCGAGATGAGCGCCGCAACCCCAGAGTCGGCCACGACTGGACCTAATGGTCAGTGGTCCCTTTACCTAAGGAGCAACTAGCATCCTCATGTGAACTAGCCCACAGAAACAATTTCCAGTGCTTTCCCCATGGTGCTCAAATCTTTACAAAGTCAGGATGCATCCTCACAAGCACACTTGGATGACTGCAACTAACCATGACAGAGATTCTGCATCACCTTCAATAAAAATCCCTTTTCACTGGAGGAAGTTCACGTAAGAAACAGTGATGTACATGAATGTGCACTGTGAAACTTTCATTTTTCTTCTTCAGTGGAGGGAGGCTTCTTTAATGAATGGTGGAGCTTCATAGCAGGCTCTGACATGGGGAAATTAAACATTTATGTATTCCTGACACTCAAGTGTATTTCTGTGTATAAGAATTCCTTTGAATTGTGAAGTTCTCTGTGGCAAAACTTAAGTCTAGCTCACATGAACAGCACAAGGTTACTTACTTGATGTACTTGTAGCTGAATATGTGGACTGCCTCCCTTAAACAGCACTGTATTTTAGGGGGGATAAAACCTCTGTGCTGTTCCATCTGTGACGGCTTTTAAAGTTTTCACATATGTAGGGTGTCACTTGATATTGCAGTCATCACATGATCAAAGGTGCCACACACACTCACCACCACATAAGTTTCTCCAGACCTTCCAGCAATTCTCCTCCCCCCGCTTCTCCCATAATCGTGCCAATAAAGAAAAGCTGTACATGAGTTGGTTTTAAGCAAGCGTGCTATCTGTTCATTTAATATTAACAAATTGAAATGAATTATTTTAATGCCAATTAACTTGTAACTGTCCCTTATTAATAGTGATTTAGATGAATACTTCTTGGAAGTAAGAATGGTAGGCTCTAGGAAACGTGCCTGGAATACAGAACACATGGACAGCCAGTTTTTATTTTTAAGAGATGTTATTACTGTTTTATATCAGTTCTATATGGCTCTGCAGCTCAAAGATTCCTATCTCAATCCAATAACATTATTACATTCAAAATATTGGGGGTGGGCCCTACCTGCTATTGCCCCCATCATTCATCAGATGAATTTAACTGTACATTAGAAGTAGGCATTTAAATATACTTCTCCCGTCCCTATCTTCTGTTGCATTTTCTACGCTCCATGGATTCTCTCTCAAAATACAGGCAATCGTTTTTATTTCAATTAGAAATATCCTACCCAATCAACTTACAGGAGAATCTGCCAATGTAAAACCAAAACAACAACAACAACAACAACAACAACACACACACACACACACACACACACACACCTTCCAATAGACAGGTTGCATTGCGAATGTGTGCCTGGGGGAGGGTTTTTATTTTATTTTACTTTTTTGTAACCTTCATTTGCAGTTCTAATAGATCCGGGTGAGTGTTTTTTCCCCTTTTTAAATAGATACTCTCAGGCCCTCCACATTCAAGCTTTATTTGCAGAAAAAGTCGTGATGGTGTTTCGCAGTGTCTCCGTCTCCGTCTTCCCCACCCCACTTTTGAGAGATGTCACAAAGTTTGCGGTCCTCTCGCTTACTTCAGCTCCTCCTCGCACCCTACCCCCCCCACCACCACGCGCGCACATGCAGGCACAGCTATCCAACCCTGCGCATCTATTTTCATTGCAAAAAGTAATTGCAAACTTCATCAGCTAAATTAAGATGAAACGGTGTATTATGGCTGGGTACTTAATGGCACCGAGATTCGCTTTCGGAAGGAGGGAGAGAGTGTGGGGACTTAGAGGGGGGAGGAGATGCTCCTTTAGGAGACAACCAGCTCTGAAGATGCAACAGACGGAATAAAAATGGACTCACCTTTAGCTTCCCGGTAGATATTCCAGCAGGATGGGGATGGGGAGGAGATATGAGTGCGTCCATTTCTCGCAGCCCAGAGAGAGATCAGTTGCAGAAGCACCACCACTCCTCTCTCTCTCTCTCTCTCTCTCTCTCTCTCTCTCTCTCTCTCTCTCTCTCTCTCTCTCTCTCTCTCTCTCTCTCTCATCCCTCTTGTGTGTTTGCCCAGAGAGAGACTGAAAGTTACAAATTGCTGCCATTAGCTCATCAAACAGTGCCTCCCCCCCACCCCTTAGTGAACCTTGGCCATTGGCCAAGCGCCCGTCACGTGGCTCTCAATGTATCGAATTTCAGCTGGCTTTCTTGTCTCAGCCAACATTCTCTGCGCGCGCCCCCCCCCCGCAAATCTCTGCGCGCAGGGCTTGTAGCCCCCCACCCCACCCCCGCCTCCTTGGGAAGTGCGCGGTGAGGGTAGGGAAATGTCCAATTTGACATGGTGAAAGCAGGTCCAAAGGTGGGGGTGGGGGGGGGGACGCCGAGCTGGGCGAAAGGGGCAGGGAAGCCCATTAAGGCAGGATGACGGATCGCCCCTTCCTAGAGCTGGTGTGTGGGGCAGGGGGCAGTGGCCACTTCACGGGGACACTCTCTGGAAGGCAGCGACAGCCGGAGAGGCAGCGCTGCTGCTGCTCTGGGGACAGAGGCGAGGAGATGGGGCGGGATCTCCCAGGGGGACCTTCTCCTCCCCACTCCCCAGCCAACCAGCCCCATCACTCCTCTCGCATGCCTCGCCCACCCCACGATTACCTCTGGGCTGGGCCCAGCCCGCCCGCCGTAGGTAGATCCGGAGTGACTTCTCCCCCTTCCAGCTGCAACTCCCTCGGTGCCCCCTACCCACCTAGCTATGGGGACAGAGACTTCCCCGCCCCTTCTTCCTCTTCCTCTTCCTCGGTGTACCCAGCTTGTTTCCCAGAAGGACATTCCTTCGGGGCTCGGCTGATGGACCCCCAGTACTCAGGTAGCCAAGAGGAAATCCTCTTCGCTCAGCCGGTCAGCTCTTGGAGAGCCCAAGGGGAGGGAAGGGGTCCGCCTCGGGAGGTTGGCGGAGAGATGGAAACTTTTGAATGGATGAAAGTTCAGAGGAATCCGCCCCGAAGAAGAACAGGTGAGTTGTTGGCGAGCAGGCCCCGCTCGGATCTAATTGGATGAGTAGCTGGCGCGCGCGCAACATCACCGGATACTCCAGGTACCTCAAATTGGTAATAGAAAGTCATCTATCACGCGCGGAGATGTCTGTATCCATTGGGCGTCTGATTTCTAAGCAGCTCACGTTTGGCGATTGTAATAACTTATTCTCACGGCTAATGCGAAGGCGATTTAGCATTCTCGGAGCATAAGGATTTGAGGCAGAGCCAGAAAGAGAGAGAGAGAGCAATCCTTAAATAAAAAATAAACAGCGTTTTGTTGTGATTTTTGTTGTATGTTCGTTTTGGCTTTAAGCGGGGGTCTTAGGTCTCTCTTTGAAAGGATAACGCGAGGGGTAATTTTCCTTCAAGTTACCCACTCAAAGAGAGAAATTTTAACTATTTACTGTTCAGAATGGGTGCCCTCAAGAAAGCATTTGGTTAGGAATCGACTGTCTGGCGATCATGAAAACGCTGGCAATTTATTGTTTCAAAATAATATTTGTATTTCGGGGATTTTTTAATGCCCAGTTTTTGTTCTGAATGTGATAGATAGATGTAAAATAAAAATAAAAAATACATCCACCAAAGTAGAGGCGGAAACTTTGTAACGACCTTTCAAAAGTGCTTTTGCCATTATATCGGATTAAAATCCGATAGCAGCAAACCTACAGACTGAAGTATCGGCAGCCCACTATGGATACTAACGGGTTTCGACTGCAGCTAAAGTTAAACTTCCTGGTAAACTTTCCCCCACCCCAAAAAAGGAGTTACTCCCAAATAAATATGTTTAAGATATCGGAACGTTAAATGTAGCATAATTTTAACCCTCCTTCCGATACACGAAATCGTGGGAGAAGGAACCATTCAGATATTACCAGAAACGATCAATTTCTCTCTCCTAGCCCCACCCCCCAACGTGCCCCATTTCAATCTGTCAGCGCTACACCATCCACGCCTGGCGAACTTTAACCACCCCAACACAAATACATTTAAAAATAGGTGAAATTGTCTCTTGACGAGGAGATGCGAGTTCTAGGTTCTTTTGACACGGCCGTTGCCAGCAGATCTTAACACGCACGTGACCTCTTGGTGCATGTGTGAATTTTGTGCATAGTGCTTGTTTGTTGCCAAATATCAGGCTAGTCCTCATGGATTTGGGGGGCGTGCGGAGAAATTTCTGAAAGTCTGCTGAACTTCCAAACAACAGGTTGGGATCCGAAGCAAAATCTTTCACGGTCTGTGTTGGATCCGCGCGCCCCTTTCTTTCTGTGGGATCACCAGGGCCTGAAAGTTTCTAAAGTCAAGCAAAGTTACAACGTGCTGGATAGAGATTTCTTTATTTAATATAGCTGTTGTTCCCAACGGGATTCTGGAGAGCTGAGCGTTCTTGTTGCTGTTTTGTGACTGGGGCTTGTTTGTTTGTTCCTCGACCAGTTTGTCCTTTCTGCGGTTATTTTGTCTTTGGGGTGGGTGGGTAATAGAATTTATACACACACTCAGACATTCCCTCTGGGTGGGAGAAGACAATAAAAGTATGTCCCCAAAACGAAACAGAACCATGGTAGCCAGTCTCGTCCTTTCGGAGGAGGTAGACTCGGGAGTAGGGTTCTTCCAGCCCCAAACCGGGATCAGTTGTTAAGCCCTTGAACGGGAAAAGGCTGCAAGATTAAGGAATCATTAACCAAACTGGACAATGTACGACATCCCCCACCCATCAAAGAGGGCGCCCGCCCGCATTCCGACCTGGGAGACCAAACTTCCTCTAACTCCAAAGCAGAGAGCAATTGGATACTTTGATAGGCGCGCGTCTTGGTCGTCTCCCTTTCGCCGTAAACGGCGCGCGTAAAGGGAGCCCCGGAAGCCAGAAATCGGAGAGAAACGGGCTACAGATTTCAGTGCCCCCGCATCCAGAAAGATTTTGGTGTGCGAACTTCTTAATGATGCATATAATGTGAATGTGTACACACACACACACACACACACACACACACAGAGAGAGAGAGAGAGAGAGAGAGAGAATGGAACCATTTTCTTTCCCGAACTACTATACTTTCTTTCGTTTCGCCTTGTGAAATTTATTCTGGAGGATTCCTTGTGCTCCTGAATATAATTCGATCCGAAAAGATCCAAGTCTTCGTCTCCTTTTTCTCCTCCCGTGGGGCAATAAGATTAAGTTGCTTCGCGACTGGCGGTGAGGTTTACTTGCTTGTTTTATAGGGTGTTTTTTCAATGTCTAAATTAGGAATATTTTTTAATTGTTTCCAAAACCATTACGAGGACATACAGACAAAAAACGTCATTTTATATAGCTGTTTTTTTTGGGGGGGGGGTAAGGCTAAACAAAGAAGAAGAAGAAGAGAAAGAATACAAAGTAATTAATTGGAAGACATCTGATTTGTGTCGAAATTTTCTAAAGCTGGTTTACACTGTGAAGTCCGAAGTTCCTCCAAGTTTTAGGGAAAGCGGGGGAGGTCGCCACCATCCTTCGCCTTTCCAGATCTGTCAGCCTTCGAGATGCGTTCTCTATTCGCGGCTTCCTATATCACTGATAGTAGAGAGATCTCGGCGGGGGGAAATATTGTCTTCTTCTGTGGATCTTGGGGTGGGTGGGTAGGAGGAGAATCTCTGTTTCCAAGCAGAGGACTTCTCCACTTTCAAGGAACTGATGGTCCCTCGTGTCTGTATAATACGCTTTTAATATCATTATATATACATACACACACATATATGCATGCACACCAACAAACGCACACCTTTTGTTTGTTGTTGCCTTTAACAATATGAACACTTTCCCCATTGCTTATCATGGAAACGGGGGAAGATAAACAAAGACAATAGAAAAGTGTGGAAGGCGTATAATTTTTAATATAGGCTGAGACCTGATCCAAAATACTGGCATGTCTTTATGGTGCCAGCGTGTTTATTTGTGTTTAATATGACTCTTTAAAAAAATGATGCATTCGCTTGTTTCCAAGCTTGGGAAAGTAAGTCACGCTAAGGAGAATCTTTTCTTCTTGTTATTTTTCTGTAGGTGGAAAATACAAATATTAAAAATGGCAGGTTTTTGGGGGTTTTTTAAGCTTATGTTTTGCAAGGAGCCTGCCTTTGGCTGGCATAGAGGTTTGAGAAATGGGGGGAATTAAATACAGGCGCTCGAGATACCAACATATTTGGAAGAAGTCAAATTCGCGTTGCGTCTCTGCAATTTAGAAAGCTGCATAAGACAGAATGGGGCGGGGCGGGGCCAGGGAAAAAGACGTTTCGTTTCATTTCAAAGCGAAGGCCATTTTTTTCTAAAAATAATCCGGATCTTTAAACATTGCCCTCTGCTCTGGCCTGCCACATCTATCAAAACTCTGTCCCCTTTCAAGCGAGTTCGTCCTTTCAAACCTTGGTTAACTGTTGTGTTGGCTCCTTCGGCCCAAGGCAGCTGAAGTTTAGCTGCCATCCATTCTACACCTCCTAACACAAGAGGAAAGGGCAAGGATGCTTTTGTTTTGTTTTGTTTTTTAAAAAAGCAAAACAGTCTACCAAGCTGAAGAGACGCTTCCTTAGCTTTAGAACCGGGATGAGTTATGGTTATGGCACTGAGAGAGTTAATAGCTCCTGTTAGGGCAGCGATCCTGGTATGCAGGAAGCAAGACAGGTAGCAAACACCGTTCAACTCTTGAGGGGGTGTGTGTGGAATGCCCACACACCATCCTGCCCAATTCCTTCACTCAAGACCACCCTTCCAAACCTTCCAGATAGTATGGACTCAAAATCCCACTAAACTCAGCTTCCACTGCCAGTGGTCAGAAGTGATGGCAAGTGTAGTTTGGCAACATCTTGGGGGCACCAAGTTGGGGAAGGCAGCCTTGGAGCAGTCCTCCTCCTCTTCCTTCATTAGATTTCTATAGCACCCTTCATTTGAGGATCACAAGGTGGTTTACAGTATAAAAGCACAAAAATGCACAACGTAACAACAAATAAAAAAATGCCCCCAACACACAGTTTAGAAGGCCTTAGGTTGATTACTTAGCCAAAGGCCGGGGAGAAGAGGAATATTTTTGCCTGGTGCCTTAAAATGTGTGTACGTAATGAAGGTGCCAGGCGAGCCGCCCTGGGGAGAGCATTCCCCAGATAACGCCTTTCTTGTGTTGCCACCCTCAGGAGCTCTTGAAGAGGCACATGAAGAAGGGCTCAGATGATGATCACAGGGTCCAGGTCAATTAAGATGGGGAGAGCCAATCCTGGAGGTATTGAAGTGTTATGGTATTGAGGTATCCATGTGTTCTAACACAAGTGGTTTTATTTATTTGTTTATTAAAGATATATACCTGCCTCCCATCCAGAAAGATCCTGTTGTGTTCCTCTGAAGATGTTCTTTTCTTGCCACCGTTCATTGGTTGCTTCTCTTTAGAGTGCATCATTTTGGCATCTTCAGTCGAGGCTAGTCCACTAGAGCTCAGTCTACTCTCATCCAGACCCCACCTGCCTGCCTGCTTGCCTTCTTACTTATCTCCCTCCTCCTGGCCTTGCAGAATTCAGCAGGGAGGACAATTCTAGAATTAGTTGAGTTGTCACTGGCTACCTGTCATTGGCTCTGGTTCCACTACTGTTGGGCTCCCCACCTTCCATCCCACCAGTCCCAACAGGGACCAGTCAACACTGGGTATCCTTTGCCCTAACTCCCTCTCTCTCCTCACAGCATTTAATTATTTGAGACACTCTCCAGGAAGTATGAGACACAGGAAAAAACTGAGACAGTGTCAACAGGAAGAATGAAAGTGACTTGATGATGAAAGAAGAATGAATGGGAAAACTTTGGTCCTTCATATGCTCTTGGTCTCCAGCTCCCATCTGCTCCCACCAGCATGGTTGATGGCTAGCAGGGGTGCCAACTTGAATAAAATATTGTGGGGGCCCCAGGTAAGCCCTGCCTCGCATAATTGATCACATGAGGCAGTGCACACACCCCCATTTGAATGGGAGTGTCCATCAACTTTGATGGAGCCTGGCTCCCTCGAAAATTTCATTGTGGGGGCCGGAGCCTCCACGGCCCCTAGGATTTGGCTCCTATGATGGCCAGGGATGATGGGAGTTGGAGTCTAGCAAGCTCCAGAGGACCACAGCTTCCCCACCCCGGTAGAAATCTTCACACACTACATTTTTCTAAGGTGTCTTAAGGGCATCCTGAAATGTGCAAAGTAATATATATGTAAATATGCCACCAATACATGTTGGCAAATGCCTCAGTGAATGCACTGAATGCACTCAGCTTTAGCTTCCAGGTGAATGCACAGTGGAAAACTTGGGTTTGCTGCTGTGGTTGTGTGTAAAATGGGACACAGAAAGAGGAGAGAACAGTATCAGAATTGGCAGGGATGGGGAATGGGACTTGAATATCCAAGCCAGCATCCCTTCTTATCCCAGATTTCTAACCTTCTCTGAAGACTTGCGTATACAAGAAGCCTAGACAACACTTGATTTCTAATTTCCTGAACAGATTCTAGTCATTTCCCTGAAATGTGTGGTGTTTGTGATGATGCGACGTTTCAATCTGTGCTGCTTGATCTGCAGTGGCTCATTCGCTCATCCAAATTGTTGCTAGATGCATGAAGTGATGGGCATGTGTAGAATGAACTCCAACCAAGGCTTTAGGCCAGGGGAAAAGGCACAGCTGCTTGACCCAGTCCTGAATGAGCGGGCACCAGCATTGGCTGTGGAAGCCTGTGCTATGGATTGCCTGTTGGGAGAGGAGGGTAGGTATAAACCAAACCACATAGCCTGTCTTGGGGGGAAAATAGCTGAGCACAATTTGCATAATGGGTTTTCCTGATTAGCTTTGGAGATGCACCAGGAACTTGTAGGAGGGAGAGTATTGCTTCCACCACCCCACCCTGCTACTCCTTTGAACACCTCCAGTTCTGACCTCAAGGCACAGCCAGTCCAGGCCTGCCCATACAGCAAGTTGCCCCAAAAGTCATTGAAAATGTTGCAAGCTTTCTGCACTGCAGATTCTTCAGGTGTTCAGGGCAAAAGCTATTTAAAAACTGGATCTTATCATACATCCAGACTGATCAGTATCTGGTCAAACTGGCTCTTAAATTTTTTTAATGCCATTTAATTTAGACATATAATTAAGTTAACTTTATCTGTGTGTTTTTAAAGTTCTTTTGATCTTATCTATTCTTAATTATCATGGTTCTATGCACACTTGTGTGTATATGTTTTTAATGATGCTGGCTTTATGTATATTTGTCTTTCATTAGACTGTGGGTTTTAGCTGTGTTTTCTTTCCAGTTTTATGTGTATGCCACATGGAGAGCTTCTTCATAAAGTGGTTTAGAAATATTCTAAATAAGGGGGGTCGGAGAGGATTCAAGCCATAGTGGGATTTTTTGGAGTAGAAAATGGACTGGGGCAAATCATAGCAGTAATAATAAACAAAATGATCATAGGTTTATAATAATATAATAATAATTTATTATTTATACCCCGCCCATCTGGCTGAGTTTCCCCAGCCACTCTGGGTGGCTCCCAATCAAGTATTAGAAACAATACAGCATTAAATATTAAAAACTTCCCTGAACATGGCTGCCTTCAGATGTCTTTTAAAGATAGGATAGCTACTTATTTCCTTCACATCTGAAGGGAGGGTGTTCCACAGGGCGGGTGCCACCACCGAGAAGGCCCTCTGTCTGGTTCCCTGTAACCTCACTTCTCACAGGGAGGGAACCGCCAGAAGGCCCTCAGTGCTGGATCTCAGTATCCGGGCGGAACGATAGGGGTGGAGACGCTCCTTCAGGTATACAGGACCGAGGCCGTTTAGGGTTTTAAAGGTCAGCACCAACACTTTGAATTGTGCTTGGAAATTACAAACTATTGAAACTAAGTGGTCTACTCCAAGTAAAACTTGGTTGAATACCACTCACAAACAGTACCCTGAGTGATGCTTCCTTCTTTTCATCCTTAGTGAAGTTACATGATACCACAGCAGACAGGACAACTCCCCCCTCCTCTCCCAGAACCAACTTCACCACCAAGCAGCTGACAGAGCTGGAGAAGGAATTCCACTTCAACAAATACCTGAGCCGAGCCCGCCGGGTGGAAATTGCCTCGGCCTTATTTCTCAATGAATCCCAAGTGAAGATCTGGTTCCAGAACCGCAGGATGAAGCAGAAGAAAAGAGAGAGAGAAGGCCTACTGTGGGGAACTGCCGCTGGCCACAGTGGGCAGGGCTCTTCCTCTTCCGACAAATCAGATCTTGCCTCTCCAGCATCCTCCCCGAGCAGGAGCAATGAGGACACCATCACTCCACCTCTTTGACTGGGAAAGAAAAGAAAGAGGCATTCGTTGAGCCTCTTGGCATTGTTGTGTAAGTCCCAAAGTCCCCTTCAAGGGATGTAAGGGATCTTTGCAGAGAAGGATAGGGAAGGACATCAGTGTTCCCCTGTGACCACAAATATGACAAACAGCACATTGGGCTGTCAGGTGAAATTCAGTAGGGATGTGTGCGTATCCGTCTATTTTTTACTGGACCAGCCTGGTGAAAATCCAAAATAATTTATATACTCTGATGTTCAGATGAACGGAAGGGTTCTTTTGCAGCGAGTTGTGCCCGCATGCAGTTACACAAGAAACCCAGGAAATGCATTAACAAGGCATTTTCAGGCACAGAAGTTCTGGGATACACAATCACACACTTCCATCTTTTTAAAATCACATTCTCCTCTCAGGTCATTACCCTCCACATTCCTGTTACCTAGCAGCGCAACCCTACTAATCAGAATAAGTGGGTACCATCTGCGTTTGATGGGACTTAATCCCAGGTAACTTATATGGGACTTACATCTGAGCAGATAGGCATAGGGTTGATCTTTTAAGGGAGTGGGTTCTTCATTCCCAGCTCTGATTTAGGTACCTAGCTGGCCAGTGTCGTCTTGTGTCTTCTGTACAGCTTAGTTTCATATCTAATAGTCTATGCAGTTTGATGATGCTTCTTACCAAATTTCTGTTGCTTGCTGGACTCTGAATGGAGGGTAGAATACTCTTCCTTGGAGGCAACTGGAGGCTTGGGCTCCATTAATCTGTTTCCATTAATGTTTAGTAACATATTTATGGATAAATATTCTAGCAGCACACCATGGAATGCTTAGGATACCTCGTCATAGGAACGTCTCCAGTCAGGGGTGCCAACTTGAATAAGATATTCTAGCAGGGGGCATGTAAGCCCCACCCCACATAACTGATTGCCAGGTGTGGTGCATGCACACCATTTGAATGGCAATGCCCACCAACTTTTATTGCCCCCCCCCCTGAAGGGACCTTGGTCCCTGGGAGTGGGCTCCTGTGTCTCCATCAAGTGGATGACACAGGTGTTGACCCTGTTAGCCTTATCGTGTGAATTTTCACTGAGACAAAGCTTAAGGGACCAATTGGTGGAGTTTTAGAACAGGGTCCAGAAGTCACTTCATGGGATTGACTCAGAAGCAAAACACTTTGGGGGGGACTTTTCTTGTTGTGATATTGGCTTACTGAAGGTAACTCAGATAGACCCATCCCCAAGACCTTTCTGGCCCACCAGTATGGCCCCCCTGGTCCTTTACGTTTTTTACCTATGCCCCCCCACATTGGTCCTTTACGTTTTTTACCTATGCCCCCCCCCACATTTGTGAATCACCAAGATAGACCGAGATAGCAGGAGGGTAGTCAATAGATAAACGGCAAAGTCCCTTGCGTGTGGTTCCTTTCACAAGGCAGTGTCAGCTGGTTGACATCAAAGCTGTTTGCCCATACCAGGGCAAGAATTTCTCCCAATTTTGCCGAGTATAAAACAACTTCCTCATTAAACAGAGAGGAAGAGAAACATTCACAGACTCTTTGCAAAATACGACAGTGATGGTAATTGTGCTATAAATAGCGCTGGCAGAACAAGGAGCAGTCATTGCCTTAGGAATGAGGAGTGTGTAGCGGCAAAGATTTTGAAAAGATAGTTTCGCAAGTGAGCTCTGGCTTAATTTGCCTTAATATGGAATATCATTCAGGCTGCAATCCCAGCATGGCATGTATGAGTGGAAGTGAGTTTCATGCAAAGGTCTTGCACTGCCAGGATCTTCCTCACAGTATGCAACCTTTGGCTGAGAGGACATCTGTCGTCCTTCACTATCAAGCAGCCAGCAAACTTGCAGAGGCACAGGATAAGATTGTGTTGCTTTTGGAGTCCACTTTTTTTAATACTTTGTTTCAGCCATAAATGGTTAACAGTCTCCAACAGCATAACAATGATCAAATAACAGATAACACTACTCTCACAAACATGCTCTCAGAGGCCATTCCTGTACTGGGGAACAATGGCCATTTCATTAGCTTAAAGTAAGGATTGGATTTGGAAGAAGGGAAAGAAGCAAGATGTTCTTCAGAGTCAACTGGGAAGGAAAAGAGATGGGTATATGCTGATCAGCGCACACAATCCATGCTGCTCTTCAGAGCAAGCGTCTTCAATATTTTCCAAATCTGGGACCTAGCTTTAACCCAAACATGCACTTGGGAATCTATTTCTTATGGCTTTTTTTGCCGTATATTTCTATGTTGGCACTGCTGCTCTTGCAACTCAGCTTAGATCGGTCCACATGAACATTAGTGGGTGTGGACCCACCAGTTAACCAATGTTCTAGAGTAAGGGTAGCCGGTGTGGACTATAACTCCCCTCAGCCCTGGTCATTGGCCATGCTTGCTGATGCTAATGAGAGCTTTCCTATGCTCAGAACAAAATTTGGGCCTTAGCCCTACAATCTCAGAGCAGAAAAACACAGGTTGTCCACTGAGAAGGGCGGTGTGTGTGGAGCTCTGCATTTTCATAAGTTTATAGAAGTTAATAAAGCAATTACAAAATATCTACCTCTAAATTTGCCTGGACTATCAGAAGGATGACACGGGTTTATTATGTATTTATTATTTGTGTGCACTGTTGGCATTGGCGTTTGATTCATGCAAGCAAATAAAGTGAGGGGGAGATACCAGATGGAGAAATTAAAATCTTGCTTTGATCAGTACTCTGCATGCTTGGCTTATTACACTTTCTCTCCACATTTCCTCTGTGGAGTTCAGAGATGCTTATGAACAGTTCCTAGGTGGGTTTTACAGGGTATGTAAGACAGTTGCTTAGCCTTAGCAGGAGAACTGCATCATGCGACTTCAGACTATTAAAATTCAGACGGGAACGGAGGCTGTGCACATACTAGCACATGCTATATATTTAAAGCGCATTTGAAGCACCATCTTTCTCTCAAAGAATTATGGGCACCAGGGCCGGCCCACCCATGAGGCGGGCTGAGGCAACTGCTTTGGGTGGCGGAACCCCAAAAGGTGGAACCCCGGAGGGAAAATCCAGAAATATGGCAACCCATACTGGAAGTCTAGTTTCTGGCAAATTTCGGCTCACTGCAAGTTTCACTTTTTGAAATACGGCAACCCTAGCCGCCACACACCTAGGCAAGAGTAGCTTCAGCAGCGGGGCAAGGCCTTCCCATTTTGCCTCAGGTGGTGATACAGGACAGACCACCCCAGACACTGTAGTTTATCCCTCACAGAGTTACAATGCTCAACAACCCTTATCAAACTACAGCTCCCAGAATTCTTTGAGGGTAGGGAGACATGTGCTTTAAAAGTACAGTGTGCGCACAGCTGAGAAGATAAATGTTGGATGTTGATATTGTTTGGTAGGCCAACTGTGCTAGGAGGAATATGATCATGGAAACTGTAATCCATAAAACATTCACTCATTAAAAACTCCCTTGATGTCAACAAAAGTATTCAAGAGAAAGTGGTTTGTGAGCTGCAGCCTTTATAAGTGTTGTTGTTCTGCTGGTATCAGTGAACGAGGCAGCAATAGTTTTTTGGGGGGAAACCTTCTATTTATCTATTTCATACTCTCAAAAAACAAGTCATCATTTGAGGAAAGATTGACAGAGCTGTTCAAATTTTACTGGTCTTGTCAGCAACAGAAAACAAACAAGGAACCAAGGGAAACAAACAGAACGCCAACCCATGCCTGAATCTGAAATGAATATTGCAGATGAAATCATGTTGCTGAATGTTTGTTTACCTTGTTCCAGGGTTCAGACTTTCAGAGAATTTGGATCTGGGGAGTGGAGACCACTGGGTATTAGGGATTGAGGAGAAAGCCACTTTTGCTCACATTTTACTTAGAAACCATCCAAGGTGCATTTCTCAAAACAATGAGTGAATTGAAACACAGCTATTCCTGGAAACTGGTACGTCTCTGAATTTCACAATGCCGTTCTCCCACCATTGTGTACAAAAATGTGCATGTTAGGGAAAACTTTGCCTCAAAATGCATAGACAATAGAGCATAAAATGCTATATATATGGAGAAATTAGCTTTATTAAGCAAAATTTCATCTAAAAATGTGTGTGTCAGAAGAAAAATGCACTAAAATGTCAAACAATTCTTGTGAGAACCTTCTTTAAAAAGAAAATGACAGGCTTATGTGAAAATGTGAAGAACTGGCCTTAGGACTGAAAAAATGAGAAACTAGGAAGAATCAAAATTGGCAATTTCACCCATTGCTATTGGCTAAGATCCCCAAGTGATTTAGAACACTGAATCATCCGGGTTCTAAAGTACAGGGGGAATCTCTATCAGTAGAGGAGAGCACACACAGGTTCAGAAGATGCCCAACTCAGCAAGGGCAATAAAGGAAAGGTGATGTTCCAGAAGGAGACTGGCTTGTCAGCATGTTCTCACCCTTCCTTGTTCACCTGAGCGAACACCTGAAGAGGGCTCCTGTTGTTCTTGCACAGAGGATTATGGGAGACATCAGTTGATGGTGGCGGTGATGAGGGTGATTTGCCATTTCATGTAGCACTGAAGCCTATACCGTTGCTTCATATTCCTAACAACCTGAAGTGTTATTTCCTTTAGATCACACATGGAGGGGGCAGGGATGAAGCTGAGAGGAGAGTGGCTTGGCTAAGACCACCTTGCGAGTTCCTAACTTAGCTGAGATTTGAACTGGCAGCATCTGAGACATGGTGCCACATCAACTTTCACCTAAGGTTGTTGTGATGGTGCATACCCTCTAACATTTCTCCAATGAAAATAGGAATGTCCTATTCAAGACGAACAACTTTATTATTTATACCCCGCCCATCTGACTGGGTTGCCCCAGCTACTCTGGGCGACTTACAACATATATAAAAACGTAATAAAACATGAAACATAAAAAACTTCCCTATACTGGGCTGCCTTCAGATGTCTTCTAAAAGTGGTATAGTTAGTTATCTCCTTGGCTTGGGGGGGAGGTGTCACATAACTCTATACCAGGCATAGGCAAACTCGGCCCTCCAGATGTTTTGGGACTACAATTCCCATCATCCCTGACCACTGGTCCTGTTAGCGAGGCATCATGGGAGTTGTAGTCCCAAAACATCTGGAGGGCTGAGTTTGCTTGTGCCTGCTCTATACCCTCCAACATTTCTCCAATGAAAGTAGGGACATCCTAAGGAAAAGCGGGACACTCTGGAATCAAATCAGAAACCGGGACGGCTTCTGTAAATCAGGGACTGTCCCTGAAAATAGGGACACTTGGAAGGTCTGATGGTACATGCTTGCATATGCATGTGCACACATACAAACCACAAGTACTCACACAGCTTAGAGAAAGAGCTGTAAGTTTAAAGAAAAACAATAGCTGCTTTTGCGACCCAGCGCCATGACCAAGCTGTTTCTTTTGCAGTTCAAGATGCACTTTAGCAAGTGGACAGAGGGATAATGCAACCTGGAATGAGCAGTAAAAGACTACAACGTGTACCACTGTGTTGTGACATGTTTGTTTAAAAAAAAAAAAAGTCACAGCACCCACTTTCAGTGGAAGATTTCCCCGCTTCCTGATATCATTTAGACAGGCCTTCTTACAAAATCACAACTGCCTTACAGAAAATCCATACAGGCCCACTCTTCCTTTCACCTCTGACCTTTTGACCTCCGTCTTGCCTCGGGGCAGCGGTGACCCGGTCACTGCCTAACCCTGAGTCAATAAGTCTACCTTCATTAGCATAAAACATGAATCTAGTGGCAGTTTGACAAATTATAACTTCAAGCTAAAGATCTGCCAACTGGCTAACTCCTGTAACGACTATTTATCATTGGAAATGGTAAATCATAGGAATTCAGATGACTTAATTATTCAGATAAAAAAAAGAGAGAGCAAACGCAAGAAAGAGAAAGGGAGGGTGGGAGAATCCCTTAGCTTCTGCAGGATATCTAAGGATGAAAGCCCCTCGAGGGGGAGAAACCACCCTCCTCTATCCCCTCGGATCTCATTCCCTGCTCCTTTGTCTGCTCTTTCTTTTTATCCCCACTTCTCTCATTTTTCTTTTCCTTTGTCATTCTTTCTCCCAATCTCTTGCTCTTTTTTGTGTCCTTCTTTCTTAACCTTCATCTTTGTGTCTCATTCTCTCGCTGTCCCGTTCCCCCCTCCTCTATTTATCATTTCAGCTTTTCTGTTCTTTTTCCTGCCTCCCATTCCTCTCTCCCTCTCTCCCCTCTTACTATTTCCACATTTAGTTCTTCTTCTTCTTCCTCCTCTCCTTCCCCCATTCATCCCCACAGCAATACTTCGTGGGCCCTTGCATTCTGCAACATGTCATGGGCGCAATAATAGTGCAATAGACCAGGGCCGGATTTAGGTTTGATGAGGCCCTAAGCTACTGAAGGTAATGGGGCCCTTTATATGTCCAGCTGTCTTTTGTCAACAACAAATTGTCGCCACTTTTTGTGTTGAATATGTGCTATATGGTAATTTATGGACCTAATAGGTATCTAAAGCCATTTGCACATGTTGCCGTGCAACCAGTCCATGCAGAATGTAGGCACCCTATATATAGAAATGAGTGAACCAGTGATATTTTAGGGAGCAGGCTAGCAGGCGGGGCCCATTACTTACACCATAGGAGCCTACAAAGCAAAAAAACACTGGTGCTGTATGCAGGTTTTATTTAATTTGTTTTTTATCTTATATTTTGGAAATGTGCATCCAGGTTTTTTTCCTTTAAATTTTTCTAGGGTCCCCAAGAGAGTGGGGCCCTAAGCTACAGCTTGTTTAGCTTATATGTAAATCCAGCACGGCAATAGACTTTGACACAGGTGAGCAGTACATAGTAATACATACCCTCCAACACGTCTCCAATGGAAATAGGGACATCCTATTTAATAATTATAATTATAATTAGACTTAGAATACTTTTATAATTTATACCCCACACATCTTACTGGGTTGCCCCAGCCACTCTGGGAAGCTTCCAACATATATAGAAACATAATAAAACATTACAAAAGCCATCCCTATACAGGATTGCCTTCAGATGGCTCGGGATCGCAGAGCTCCATACCTTCCAACATTTCTCCAGTGAAAATAGGGATGTCCTAAGGAAAAGTGGGACATTTCAGGATCAAATCAGAAACCGGATGGCTACTCTAAATCAGGGACATCCTTGGAAAATGGAGGGTCTGCAGGTGGGGGTGTTTTGGGGGGAAATAGCCTTGCTGACAAATGGGAAACAGTACCAGGTCAAATTTGACCCACACATTCCCAAACGTTGCTTTTGAACATTCGAGAGACAGTTGGGAAGGGAAGCGCCAGGCAGTTCCAGATTTACATATAAGCTAAACAAGCTATAGCTTAGGGCCTCACTCTCTTGGGGGTTCAAAAAAAATTTAAAGGAAAAAAACTGGATGTACATTTTCAAAATATAAGATAAAAAAATAAAAAATAAAACCTACATACAGCATCAGTGTTTTGTGTTGTGTAGGCTCCTATTTATTATGTGCAAATGGCTTTGATACCTATTAGGTCTATAAATTACCATATAGCATATATTCAACATAAAAAACAGTGACAATTTGTTGTTGACGAATGACAGCTGGACATAGAAAGGGTCCCATTACCTTCAGTAGCTTAGGGCCTCATCAAATCCAAATCCGGCCCTGGTGCCAGGACTTGTGGCGCTGTTGTATTTCTCCAAGGTTATCTGCAAGAAAGGATTGCCCAATACGATTTCTGTACAGCTGTTCTTCAAACACGTATTCCAGGAATGGGGAACCTTTGGCTGCCCAAGGGCCTCATTTCATTCTGGACAATCCTTCCTGGGGCCACATATTTCAGTGGTAGGTGAGGTCCAATGATAACATGGGCAGAGCAACAGAAGTGACTCTTTGTACGATATGTTATATTCCAGCCAAGCAAAAGTCAAACGTTTCTACAAACACACACCACACAACTCTCTATCCTCCTTTTAGGCAAGCAATAAGCTTTCATACCCTTCAACATTTCTCCAATGAAAATAGGGACTTCCAGTGCTATTTTTCTAGAAAAAGAGGTGCAGGAACTCACTATGAACACCATCCTTGTTCTCTATAATGGCAATGGCACCCATCTGAGAGGTGCTGGAACAGAGTTCTGGCGAGTTCCAGATTAAAAAAAGCCTCGGGAACATCCTATTCCATACCCTCCAATATTTCTCAAATGAAAATAGGGACGTCCTAAGGAAAAGCGGGACATTCCAGGATCAAATCAGAAACTAGGACAGCTTCTGTAAATCTGAGGCTGTCCCTGGGAAATAGGGGCACTTGGAGAGTCTGAGCTTTCTCACAGTTCAAGGACACATTCCAGACAGGTGAAAGCATTCAATGATGGTGTGGCCAAGGTAGAGTAGGTATGCCCTGGCAGCAGGTCTGGGGGACAAGTAGAAAGACCCAAAGGACCGCATTTGGGTCCCAAACTCAGGTTCCTCACTCCTCACTTAGGTTTCTGTTCACTTCCCTACATCTCATTTTCCTCTTATTATTTCTGCATTCACTTTTGAAGCCTATAAAGCACATTACCTCATTAAAACACGCCAACACCAAATTGCTCTCATTTTCTCCACCTTAATTGAAGTAAAATGAACTCCTCTCCCAATGAACTCCCAATTCTCTTTGTCTCCAAAGCCGTCCACCCACCCTATTTCATGATTCTTATTTTCTTACACACCCCAGTAGGATGGTCTCTTCCTACTCGCTTCACTCTTGCCCTGCTGCTTCCTCTTCCTCAGTGAATGGCACAGCAGTGTGTACCAAAGAAAGACCGGCAGCCATGTTTAAAGCAGAAAACTGAGGTGCCTCTCCCAGAGGAGATAGCTTGTCCTTTATCAAACTCCACCTTTCCTTTCTATTGAAATCTCTCCTCTTCCCTGAAGTTTTCATCCCCAGGCCCAACATCCTGGGACAGATGACCAGACACTGTCTCCCCAACAGGGCTCAACAATGTTGGGACGTGGGTGGCACTGTGGTCTAAACCACTGAGCCTCTTGGGCTTGCTGATCAGAAGGCTGGCGGTTCGAATCCCCGCAACAGAGTGAGCTCCCGTTGCTCTGTCCCAGCTCCTGCCAACCTAGCAGTTCAAAAGCACACCAGTGCGAGTAGATAAATAGGTGCCGCTGAGGCGGGAAGGTAAATGGCATTTCTGTACGCCCTGGTTTCCATCATGTTGTCCCGTTGTGCCAGAAGCAGTTTAGTCATGCTGGCCACATGACCCGGAAAGCTGTCTGTGGACAAACGCCGGATCCCTCGGCCTGAAAGCGAGATGAGCACAACTCCATAGTCTCCTTTGACTGGACTTAACTGTCCAGGGGTTCTTTACCTTTACCTTCAACAATGTTTACTGGGCTGAGTGCTGCACATTCCTCCAGGCAGTAGCAGACATACCTGACCTCCCAACTGCTGTGGAGGGAGGTGACTGGGGTTGTTGCAGTGCAGATGCACTGGTGGAGCCAATCTGGCACAGCTGCCAATATATTTACAGTGGTACCTCGGATAACAGACGCTTCAGGTTACAGACTCTGCTAACCCAGAAATAGTACCTTGGGTTAAGAAGAAGAAGAGTTTGGATTTGATATCCCACTTTATCACTACCCGAAGGAGTCTCAAAGCGGCTAACATTCTCCTTTCCCTTCCCCACAACAAACACTCTGTAAGGTGAGTAAGGCTGAGAGACTTCAAAGAAGTGTGACTAGCCCAAGGTCACCCAGCAGCTGCATGTGGAGGAGCAGAGACGTGAACCTTGTTCACCAGATTACGAGTCCACCACTCTTAACCACTACACCACACTTTGCTTCAGGATAAGAACAGAAATTGTGTGGCGTCTGGGCGGCAGCAGCGGGAGGCCCCATTAGCTAAA